CTGGGGACTGAACCCAGGACCTCATGCACGCTAAGCATGCGCTCTACCACTTGAGCTATACCCTCCCCCCACTTCATAGATTCTTTGTTGCCTCTTTTTCTGATATTCCTTCCAAACAAAACTGACCTTCTGATTTTAAGTTGTGAAATAAAACACGAGAATTAAAACTTAAAAAGTAAACAGGAAAAAAAAAAAAAAAGAGCCAGTCACTGGAAATCCCATTGTCCAAAGATAACTACTCTAAATATTTGACAGTATCTCCTTCCAGGGAATTCTCATGCCCTTATATATATAGTAATAAATGCAGCAGTTTCTGAACATTGCCCTTCCTTATTTAGCATTCCACCTGCCATTTAAAATATTGAACCATGTTCCTGAAATTGAAAGAAACAGTCATTAGAATTTTCAAGAGGTACTTGCATTGCCTATTTTGCTTCCTGAATGAATGTGACAAGCCATCACTATTTCTGAATTTTACTTGAGCACTTGATCCTAGATTTCTTTGCTTTGTAGCATTTCAGCCAAGCATTGTTGACTTCCATCTCCTAAATGTGTCTACGTTCACCCACTCTTTCCCATTTCCGTAGCCCCAGGGCCTCCACCGGCACCTAGGGTGCCTTTGTGCGGTTTCCCCAAGAGCCTGTCCTCCACGCAGAGCTCCTGCGCTGTCTCGGGGCCTTTGTGCTGGTCACTCCATATCAGTGACTTGACGGCCACCACCAGAGCTGCACCCACAGCATCTGCTGCCTGGATCACGTGACCCTAATCAGTCTCCTTTCAGTGACCACTCTTGACCCCAGTTCACCTTCAGGCAAGTCCCCTCTTTCTCTCCCTTACAATTAATTCCATCAAAGGAGACACTCCACTGGCACCTCAAACACAACATACACAAAACCAAACTCTTGAGCTTCCTCCAAAAAGTATTCCATCACCATCTTTCACGTTTCAGTTACCGGCCACTTTATCCTTCCAGTCACTCCTGCCAAAATCACAGATTCTCCTTCTCCAATAGTACACACAAGATCTGTCAGCAAAGCTTCTCAGCTCTACCTTCAAAATACGCTCTAAATCTTACTGCTTTCATCACCTCCATTTCTACCCCTGGACCAAGCCATCATCGTCTTTTGTCTGGATTATTGAACTGGCCTCCATACTAACCACTGCCTCTCCCCTACATTCCCCTAGCCCAACCTGCCTCTGCCCCCAACATGCCCAGTCTCCCCTCCGCATGGCAGTCCCTCCGGTGGCTTCCTATCTCACTTAGAGTAAAAAATCAACATCTCCATAATGGCTCACCAGGCCCAAACGATCTTCCCCATCATCTCTGAGATAACCTCTCAGTGTTCTCTTCCTTGCTCATGCCTCACCTGACCACACTGGCTGGCCTCCTTGCTGTTTCCCCAGATACCAGCACGTTCCTGCCTCAGGGCCTTTGCACTTGCTGCTGCTTCTCTCTAGTATGCTCATTCCCCAGCTATCTGCATGGCTGACACCTCACTCCCTTAGGTCTTGTTCCAGTATTGTCTTCTTAGTGATTATCTTTGTAACTTCCTTATTAAAAGCAGAATTTACCCACTTCTTTCTCTTGGCCAGGCCCTCCCTTTTCTGTCTTATGTTTTCCCCATCATACTTCTTACTATACAACATACCACATACTGTAACTTAACTTGTTTATGGTCTTTTTTCTTTTGCTCAAATGTAAGCTTCAAGGGAGTAAGAATTTTTGTTTATATTCTTTATGACTTAATTCCCAATGTCTAGGGTAATGCCTGATACCTAGTGGGTGCTGAATAAATACTTGTTGAATGAATAAATGATGGTCTCCCTGCTTCTGAGCTTTCTTCCTTCCCATGTTTTCTCTGCAGAGAAATCTTTTCAAAATGCATAATTAATGAATCCACTGGTTTCACTTAAAACTCTCCAAACTTTCCAGCTGCTTACAGGATAGAGACATACATTCTTAAAATAGCTTATAATGCCCTGTCATAAATCCAGTTTGCCTGTTACTTTATTTTTAAGCTGTTTACCCCCTCAACTTTTTACATTCCAGCTACCCTGGACTTCTCTTATTCCCTGGAAAATTCTTCCTGCCTCAGGACCTTTGAATATGCTGTTCCCATTTCCTGAGCTGCTTCTCTCTCCACCCCTCAGTGTTTTATCCTATGTTTTTCCCTATCCTAACAGTATTAACAATAATCTACTGTTTGGGAGTGAAGGAGATGACTGGGCAGTTGTTTGGCTACAGGCAGAAAAAAACAAGTTGATTGTCTCGAGTTTTTATTCTCCACTTTACTTCTGGGGCTCTGACCTTGTACTATCACAGCCAGTTTTCTTAAATATACAGCTGTATTCACTCATTATTTTAAAATTCATTTCTTTAGAACATATTTATTTAGTTCTCATGCAAAGCAGTGTTGAAGCCAGTTTTTCAAGGTCTAGAAGTGGACTGGCTGGCTGGCTGTAAGTGCAGAGCCCACTTTTAATATAGACATCCATCCCCAGGCCCCTGGTACAAGCCAGGCTGTGTCTGGATCTGGGGATACAGAGAAGTAAGAAAGGGTTCTGCCTTTGAGGGCCAGAAGTCAGAGGAACCGCTAATTATGCAAAAACCCTGGACATTTCCCTCCCTCCTGTCTCTTTGTCATCGGTCCCTTTATGTCTTCCAGCTCATTAAAATCAGTATTAAGTTGTCCTCATTACTTTCTCTCTTTTCTGGCTTTCTTGGACTTTGTAAATATGATTTAAAATTTCTGTAACTGCTGCACTTAATGGCAACAGAAATGATTTGCTTTGAGGAAAAAGATGAGTGGGAACCTAAAATTTATATATAGTGAACATCTATAAACAGTAATGGCAATATTCTTGAATAATAAAATTTAAATGATATATTTATGCCTTTCAAATAATAGCACAAGAGAACCACTAAAGAATGGTAAGGAGAATATTAATATTTGTTCATTAACATAAAATATTATTGAGATGGAGAGATACTTCACTCCTTGCATCTCATGTTCATCTCCCGAGTGAATTAAAGCAGTTATAAGGGACTGTTTTTTTATTGGCTGCAGCAAATAATGTGCTTAACAGATTCATTCCCTCCTGGTCATCATCATTACCATCAGCAAACACTTGCAGAGGAGGCGGGAGATGTAGTGCGGGGGTGGGGGTGGGGGGGCATTCATCTCGCTGGGAAGACAGGACGTATTTATAACAAAGACGGATAACAATACGGTGCATGGAGAGCCCAACAAATGACATTGAAAATAAGTATAATAGGACTTTAAAGGAAAGAGAAGTCATTGAAAGGAGGCGAGACTTGATCTGGGTCTAGAATGAAAGGCAAGTATTAAGCTACAGAGGAAAACGGAGCTTTTCTGGATAAGGGGACAGAGTGGGCACAAGGGCAGATGTCCCTGGAGGGTCTGGGGGGTGACGAGTTCCCAGAAAAGGAAGAGTAGGGACGTGCGGGCTTGATGTGAGGCAAAATGCAGACTGTATCGGCGGACTCTGGATACTGACTGCTAACACACACACACATTATCCTGTGTGTGTGTAGTGCCTCACACTGACTAAGTCACTTGATTTTCACAGCACTCCTATGAGAGAGACACCATGTCACAGATGAGGAAACTGAGGCACGGCATGGCTCGTGATGGCCCAAGATCACAGCATCCGCAAATGCAGAAGCTGAATTCAAACCCAGACCTTCTTGTTCTACACTCCGAGCTCTTCCCCACGAGGCTGGTGGGTCTCCAGCAGAAGGTAGTGGGATTCGGGACCTCTTTCCCTGTCCCTGGGGGAGGAGGCACTGCTGAGGGTGTGATGAGAGAGACAGTGTATGAAGGAAGACCTCCTCTAGCCTGTGGGTAAGATTAGGGCCGGGCGACAGGGAGCAGAGACACAGGGCGGGACACAGCTTCCTCATGGACAGGCTGAGGTGCATGGTGACCCCAGGAAGGGGTCACTGGATGCCGGGAGCCCAGCTCCCCCCAGACCTCGGCAGACCCGCAGGAGGTGTACAGTAGTGAATGTATTTATTTGGAAGGAAAAAAAGTCCTCATTATACACATGAAGCCACCTCATATTCACGTAATATGGTTCTTGTAAAGGGCTCGACGAGCCTTAGCAACGGAACTGCTCTAACACGATGCCAAAGCCCCCAGCAGGCAGGTCAAGTTAGATGACTTGCTCGGCATCCTGTCGGGAATGAAGGACAAGCCCAGAACCGCCCAGACCCACTGGGACATCCCGTCCTCCCACAATGAACGGCAGCAGGACCCTCGCCCTTACCGGTGGGTTTGACGAGCACCGCCAGGAAGTCAGGGGTGAGGGAGCTGACATAGAGGAGGATGCAGGGCGCCTTGGTGGTGCTGAAGCTGAGGTGGATCTCCTCGCGGGCCAGGTCCGGGGCCGCGGGGTCCGGTGAGCTCTCCAACTTGCCGCCCGATTCCCTGGCACCGACCCCGGACGCCTGGAAGTTATACCGGAGCCACATCCCCTCTTCAAAAAATGCACCCACATCTGTTGAAAATGAAAGAGAAAATGGAGAGATGAGAAGACTGATGCTAATTCTGCCAACGACTGAAGCAGGGGGGACGTGAGCTTTGCTGTGGCCTCTCAGGCAGCTGACGGAGGGCAGGCCGACCCAGGAAGGGGACCCGACTGGGTGCACTTCTCTATGCAGATGGATGTTACTCCATCAACACAAACACGCAAATAACCAACCAGCCAGAACCCCAAAACAGAGTACAGCGATCTGTAAACGTAAAATATAATAGTAAAATTAAGAAACGCATATCACGCCAGAAAAACATGTCATGCTTGGCACTTAGACCAAATAACCAATTTAGGCTGAAGAGAGATGCTGAGCACAGAGCAGTGGTATCACAGAGCCACTAGCCCAAGAAGCTCACGGGCCTCTGCTTAGAGACTGGAGTCACTCTGGTGGTTCACACAGGAGCGCCGAAATCCTGGCGGCTTTGGGGAGAGCGTTCAAAACCACAGGACGTGAAGTCAGAGGGAACTGGGCTCAGATCTGGCACTGCTCTCAAGGGTTAGGAGAAGTCACTCAACCAGCTTCTCCAGGCCTCAGTATTTAGCATGTGAAAGGGAAATGGTGTTGGAATTACAAAAGATAATTTGAGTAATTAGCACATAATACATAGTACCTATTACTATCATTATTAAGAAATTAGAAGAAAGGTCACTCATTCTTCCTTAGTGTTTTCCCTGAGGCCTCATCAGCGCTAATTGGTCTTTAATCATTTCCCAGCAGGCAAGCTCCTGCTGTTGGTTTCCTTATTATTTGCTCCCAGTGTTCTAAAGTCACCTCCTGTCTCCCTGCGAAAGGCTGAGGCAGGCTCTCAGGATTTGCTCAGCCCTCGTAGTTTCATTGCCCTCTGCACGTGCCCTTCGGAAAGCATTTCTCAAACTTAACTTTGCTGGTGGAACCCGTTATTCTCATAAGATTTGATGTCCCACTAAACTAACGCCACGCAGAATGTGTTCTGTGATGGAAACGTGAGCTGTCTTGATTGTGGTGCTGGTTTCATGGGTGTGTACATCTATCAAAATTCATCAAATGGTACATCTGAAGTATGTGAAGTTCACTGTACAGGAGTCATACCACACTACAGGTGTTAAAAAAAAAAAGAAAGAGTGTGTTTTGTGAAACACTGCTTTACATGGTAATTCATAGAGAGGAGCAATTTTAAAAGGCTTCTCTCTGGGAATTCTGAAGTTTGTTCTTGTGAAAGAGACTTAGCGCTAAGAGTGTCAGCCCAGCGTGGTGATCGTGGGTCTGGAGTTGGAACCTTTGGGTGACTCTCAGCCTGGCCACTAACCAGCCCAGTTAAACTTGGTCAGTGGCTTGAAACTCTCAAGCCTCAGTTTCCTTCTCTGAAAAGTGGGGCCCCTGTTGGGAGAATTAATCCATGGATGACACTTAGCCTCGTGCCTGGAAGACAGGATAGGCATCCAGTAAAGATTAATCACTTATGACAAAGACAGGCTGCCACTTTCCACTGAGGGCCCCGGCTGCCACCCCGACCCCCTCACCACCGCACATGGGCAGAGCGCCGCCCAGCACTGCTGCCCCGGCGGCGTCCCACCGCGCTGTGGTGAAGAGCTCGGTTAAATACAAGCAGCTGCGGGCAGGGCTGTCTTCCTCCTGGACCTGTCACCCGAGGGCGTGTGTGTGTGTGTGTGTGTGTGTGTACAGAGGGTACTATTGGCATTTGGTGGGCATGGGTGAAGCCTACTGAGAGTCTTGTGACATGAAGGACTGTCTTATTCAATCAAGAATCATCTCGCTCAAAATGCCAAGTGTCTTCGTTGGGAAACGCAGGATTAAACAAACACTTGCTCCACGCCAGCCACCACACGACTCACTGGAATGTGAAGACGCATCAGGTGTATCAGGTCCTTGAAGAGCTTCCTGTCCAGAGGCGGGTGTGGGAGGAGACACCATGCTTTGAACACAGCATGGTGAGTGTTATGGTGGCTTATCTGGCAGACCACGTGAGAAGAACCCCGCTCGCTGCCTGGAGGACCCTGGCTTTCCCACAATTCCAGCAGACACCTCTTGAGTCCCAGCCAGACGCCAGGCACTACGCTGGGTGCGGGCTTGCAGTCCTTATTCTCACGGAGCTCTGCTCTCGGGGAGAACTGAGACTAGCAGACGTCGTCACAGGCAGTATGCTAAGTACAGAGTCAGGTTTATACGGGGTCGGGGGGCACGTGGAACACCAGGGGTACAGCCCTGTCTCCCAGGCCCCAGGAGGACTTCCCGAGTGAGATGACATTGAAGTTGGGTTTCAAAGAGCCAGAGGCGGTTGCTATGTAAAGCTGGACAGGAAGGAGGGCTGCTTTCCAGCTGAGAGCACAGCCTGAAAAGTCCCTGGAGTCCAGAGAGTCTGCGATCTGGGCACTGTGCACCCAGGTGAAACTCACAAGCTCTTTGTGACACTTTCCATGTTCACACGAGACTCATTAGGCTCCCACTACCTTTCAGGCTGCGAGTTGGGGAAGCAGTGAAGGAGACAGAGGTGAGCCCTATTCTCAGCAGTTCAGAGCCCCGTGGGGCAGAGGGACATTTTCTGGACGGGCTGAGGGGGCAGCGTCTAGCAGACGGTGGGGCGCAGAGCATCTGGCGAGAGCAGGCAGGCAGGCCGCCTGGAGCCAGCGCACCAAGGGGTTCACTTTGCCAGCACAGAGATTCCAGCAGGGGATGCAGGGGTCAGTATCTGAGAACAGGTTTGGGCCATGCAGGAGGGAAGAGGCAGACCTGGGGCCTGGAGAGAGGGAGGGAGGGAGGCTAGAGATCAAGGGCAGAGGGTTCCAACAAGCCAGAGGCAGGCAGA